CTTGAGTGGTTAAATTCTTTTGAGGCAGACCCCTGTGCCCTTACATTTTGAGCTTCCCAGCACCCTAAACCGCAACACTTCCTCTCTTTCACTAAAACAATAGTTGTCACTTTCCAGGGAAAGAAAGATAAAAGGCCTAAATACTGTTTTTGTGTAACTTTCACTAATTTTTTTTTCCTTAAACCAATTCTAAAGTGATGCCCCAAAACTTATTAAGATATTTCTTTCAAACCACAATTTAGAAATTCACAGTAGAGAAATTACATTTCAGTCACAGTTTATGATGCCTGCCATAAGTTTTGCAGACTGGGGTAAAACGATTACCTTTTTTCTTATCTGTCTTATCTGCCATCCTAAGTTGGCCAGAGTATAAAGGGAGAGAGAGAGATTCTACCTTTTTGGAAGGTTTCAGAAATTCTCTGGGAAAGGTTTCATTCTTTACATCCTTTTCCTTTTGGTTGATCAGGACACAGGAAAACTCAGCTGGACTTACCCACACAAAACACTGACATGCTAACAACATAGTGGATATTACACAAAAAATATGTACTTCTAGCTTCAGGCTACTAATTTTTTACTCTTTCTAGTCCTGCTTAACATGGAGATCTTAAATGTTTACAATAGATGAATATGTCAGAACTGGAACTCTACCCCCTGCATCCTTGCAACAGTCGAGTCCATTTTCTGCCTTGTAGCCATCATGGTCAAAAGTGAAACTGAGGTTAGGGAGCTTATCTCAGTCCCCCTGTAGCTGGCTTGGCTGAGGTCACAAGTACATTATCTTGTCAAGGGAAGCCACTCCTAGGAACTGCTCCAAACACTCCTAAAGTTCCTCTGTGAAGAAGAAGGCATCCTACTCCATGAGGTCTGAACCATTGGACCCTCTATCTTTGAAAGACATGGGGAAACCATGGTCCTGAAACACACGGGACTCCTCTGGAATTTTTCCCTCAGAGATGACTCTTAAAGTTCATTCTAAGTTATGTGTAAGTTCTACAAGTCCTGAAGCACACAGAACTCGGGAATGTCTGCCCTTGAAGGTGACTCTTAATTGTCACCCAAGTCTGCACACTAGGGTCTACCCTAGAACACCAGGACTTGTAAGCTGGAAAGCAGGCCAAAAATCAGGCAAGTACTATGCCTCTCAAACAAAATGAGTCTTCAAAGGTGATTGCCATAACTTTTCAAGTTTCTCTTGGCCTTCCCATGTAATTTTCCTTAATGACTTTAGGTTACTGAGGATTGTTTGTCCAAATGGACTGCTTGCATTGTCCATATTATTCCAGCACCCTGCTGGCTGTCCCAGTTGTTTTGAACCAGTTCTCAGACAGAAGGGAGTCCCTCCCTGGAGGATGTAGGTTTCCCCTATTCACGCTGGCTTTCTACAACTGCCATATGCCTCCTGTCGGTGTGGCTGTAGGTATGTACAAGTACCCAGTTTATGTCTAAGGAAAGACCAGTGTCCAGCTAGAGATGTAGGGACGAACAGCCCCTTAATTACTTCAGGTGATCACAATAACATGTAATACAATGGGACTCATTCAAGCAAAATTTTATTTCAGGCAATGGGGAAGACAGAAAAGGGGAGAGAGAGGAAAAGGGGACCAGATATACAACTCAGGCATACATCCTAACATGCAGTATGTCCCTTAAAGGCATCACTGAGTTGGGACACACAGAGAAACCAGTCCATTCAGCAGAAGGGGAATATTCCAGCAGGAAGGTGTGCACCTGCTAAAGGGGATTTTCTTCCCTGAAGTACCCTGCTGAGAGTAGGTTTCTTACACTATGACTTTGGATGGCTTCCCCAGAGTTGGCCAAATTGCATATCAGAGGACAGGGCAAAATATTCTTTTGGGGGTTTACATATCAAGGAGAAAAAACAAGCTGGTGGCAAACAAAATATAATTTGGAGGGCATAACTGTATCAACCTCCAAAAATGTTACTTTATTTTGCCATGAATGAGTTCTATAAGCTTATAGCCTCCATTAGGGGGACACTGTCAGAGTGGTCTTAAGACCATTAGGCCTAGTATTAAAACAATGGTTTCCATGCATAGACTACCTTAAGGGGAAACTGGTCCAATCTTAGAACAGCATATAATTTTTAAAAGTCCACCGAACAAAACTGACCTGGAAAACAAGACTCAGGATCATCAGACTACCTGAAAATCATAGCCAAAAATTCTGTTTAAACCTGTTTCAAGAATTGATAGATGAAACCTGTTCAAGTCAATTAAAACCAGAGGGCAAAGGGCCAATTGAAATAATCCATTGGCTGCCTCCTGAGGGAAAAATAAATGAAAACTACCAGCAATACCATAGTCAAAATCCCAAACTTCTAGGTCAAAGAAAAAATATTTCAAATAGCCAGAAAGAAAGAGTTCAGGTAGCAAGGAACCATAGTTAAGATATTATAAGACATGGCAGCTTTCAGAGATATCTTGGAATATGAAATTCCAAATGCAATGGATAAAAGCTTGCAACCAATAACTTATTCTGTGAAACAGTGTAATTTTCCTATGGAGGAAAAATGGGCCTTTAATAATGTGCTTGGCTTTCAAGCATTACTGACAAATAAAAAAGATGAAAAAAAAATCTAAAGATTAAAATTTAGATAATTTAAAATTATTAATATGTAAACAGACATTGAGATAACCACAAAGTCAGGGCTGAGGGGGTGGCCATGGCGGCTCAGTACTCGGGTTTGATGCGATGGACTTTCTCGGAGATTACCCTATTGCTCCGGACCTCTTCTAGACTCCTCTGTACAGCAGCAAAACAGAAAAATAATGGCCAAAACTTAGAAGACGACTCGAATCAAAATGAACAGAAGACAGACAGTACCTCTACAGAAAAGACACTAACTGAAGACAAGGTCAGATTAGAAGAATAGCTGCAAGAAACCTGGGAGAAGTACAAGCGAGCCTTAGCCAATTCGAAGAACTTGCAAGAGTGAAGTCAGAAATTAGTAGAAGAGGCAAATTCTATGGCGTTCAAGGTTTCTGTAAAGATTTGTTAGAAGTTGCTGAAATTTTGGAAAAGGCAACAGCAAGTGTCCCAAAAGAGGAAATAAAGGAAGAAAACCCTCATTTGAAGAACCTGTATAAGGGTCTTGTCATGACTGAAGTCCACATTCAAAAAGTGTTCAAAAGGCATGGTTTGCTCGAACTAGATCCTGTTGGTACCAAATTTGATCCCTATGAACATGAAGCCTTGCTCCATACTCCAGTAGAGGGGAAGGAGGCTGGCACCATTGCACTAGTAACCAAAGTTGGGTATAAGCCACATGGGTGAACCTTGAGACCTGCTTTGGTAGGTGTTCTTAAAGAACTGTAGCAGTCTAACTTTCTAACTCTTTCTTCCCCACACTCAAATGTATACAGCTTATTAGATGGATATTTTCTCCTTCAAACACTTCTAACATTTTCTCACTCTTCATGGAAGTAACCAGTGGCTCAACAGAAAATTCACCCAGTCTTGAAATTGCATTGTTTAATGAATTGGATAATTTGGAAAGTTTGCACAATTGATTTAAGTATTGCATATCTAAAGAACAGAGCCTCTGAGGCAATCTTGTAAACTGTACAGTATGTTCAATGATGTTTTTCTGTTAATAACCCTGGCTATTTGAAAGGTATGTTCAATGAATAATATGTCTCCAGGAATTCTACAGTGTGACTGGCCAGACAGATTTATGGGGTTGTTTTTGTTTTTTATTTTATCATTCTGGAGTTTTTTTTCTTTTGTACTATGAAAAGGTTATGAGAAAAGCTCTTTGAAATTGATAAAATGATTAGATCAAACCAACATATTTTCTCTCCGCAACAAATTTTATAATAATCTTTGAGAGAACTGTACTTCAGTTCCTTGTTTATGTTGCTGTCTTGCTGGCAAAAATTTTGGTGGCTTCTAGCTTTTCCTTGGGGTACACTGATATGTATACAGTGCTGTTTATTCTGAACCATTATGTGAACTCCAAAAAAGAAGCTATTTAAATGATATCTAAGTATTACATATTATTCAACTATCACTAATAATTTCTCCAATATTTGGGTTTTGTTTCAGACCTTTAGGTAAATAAACCATTGTTAGTAGTCCTTTTCATGTTTACAGTTATCATTTTGCCAGTTAAGCAATTTGATTTGGCCCTGAAAATCTGGGGAAATGTTTGCAGCCTTTTTGAGTGTTATATTTAAAAGTAGAAATATGTTGAAATCAGTGTCTGAAATAATCTCAACAAATGGATTTAATTTTACATTCCTTGGTAAGTTTTACTGTCCCAGAGTTTAGGAACCAAGTACTGGGTGAGCTTTTTAAAACATAGTTTAAATTTATTATTTAAAAGGATTAAAGCCCTAATTTGCACTAAAAAAAACCAGAGATAACCACAAAGGTAAATAAATCTGAACTTTGGAAGGGGACACACAATGATCAAGTGTTTATATCCTATTAAAGCTGACAGAAAAATATTCTTCCAGGGTTCCAGTATACTCAATGGTTATTGAAGGATTTAAATGAGACAGAAGATCTGGGTGATTTTGTTCTCTTTTGATGGTCTTAGAAGACAGAAAAAGAGAAAAGAATGTCATGGGGAAGAAAGGAAGAGGAAGAGGAAACTTACTATCTCACATAATACGCTGCCTGAAATGAAAAATATATTGAAAGAGAGGGAAGTTGTGTGGATACAGACGACCCATGAACCTCCCTTTCATCTGAACCAGAAAGAAGGATTTTACACACACACACGCACACACACACACCTTACTTGTATTTGTAGCCCCACTGTTTAACACATTGCCTGGCCTATTGTAGGCACTTAAAGCACTTCATAAATGCTTTCGCTATTCATCTCTGTAAAAAAAGAGGCAGGCCTTTGACAGCACTCGTCCTAACTCCAATCACCTTCTCTATCCAGTTAACCATCAAGCTGCCTCTTGAGAAAATAAAAGGCAGTTAAAAATTAAACCACAAAGTAAAATAAACTTTAATCTGGAAGAGGTAAAGCCAAAGTATCTCTAATGAAACTGAAGTTGTTACATGGTGAAAGTTGTTTTCCACCTATATCCTGTATGATGCTGAGAAAATCTCGGTGAGAAAAGAAGGAGCATTTGGTTCTTCCTCAGGTTTGTCCTTAATATTTTCTGATTAAAATGTCCATTTTGGACTAAGGGGACCTGCCCCCATCCTCTTTATCTAAGCAATACCTAATTTACTGAGCCTCTCTGATAAAAACTTTATTCAAAGGTGAGAGGGGAATATTATGCAGCTGTCACACAGATTCCATATATTTTACCCCCTCAAAGTAGATAAGAGGTAAAATAGGACAGGGAGTGAATCATTATTGTCATGGAGGTCAGGGGTTTATAAACCACAGTGATCTCTGGCTTAGAAACATCTCCAGAACACATCATAAAACTTTAAGGTCACTTTTGGCTATTAAGTTCTACTTTCAAAATGCCAGGGTCTCCTGGGATGAATCCTTTAGACACCTAAATGACCCCTGAAAAAGTGTCTTTTTGATTGCCGAGAGAGATTTGGAAGAATAGTTTGGTGGGGGTGTAGGATACCAGACAGCCAAAGTGTGGTATGCGCACAATGAATGTGCTTGAGGTTGCATAATTAATAAAATTGATAATGATAATGATGATGATGATGATGATGATGATGATGATGATGATAAACTATCTTTTACAAAGCACTTCAAGGTCTCAAAGAACATTACAAATGTAATCTCATCTGAACCCAGGGACCTGAGTTCAAATCCTGCCTCAGATATGTATTAATTGTGTGCCTAAGGGCAATGTAGGGAGGGAGGGAGGGAGGGAGAGAGGGAAGTAAGCATTTAAAAATACCAGGCACTGCCCTAAGTGTGCTTTACAAATATTATCTCATTTGCTCCTCATAATAACCCTTCAAACTAGGTGCTATTGTTATTCTCATTTTGTAGCTGTTCATGTGTTTTCAGTTGTGTCTGACTCTCCAATACCCAATTTGGGATTTTCTTGGCAGAGATACTGGAGTGGTTTACAATTTCCTTCTCCAGCTCATTTTACAGATGAGGAAACTGAGGTTAAGCAATTTGAGGTTAAATGACTCTGGTTAAGTGAGGCAAAGAGGACTAAGTGACTTGCCCAGAGTCACACAGCTAGTAAATGTGTAAGACCAAATTTGATCTGTGATCTTCCTGACTCCACGCCTAGTGCCTGCTCTACTGTGCCATCAGCTGCCTCCAAATAACTTAAATTTCAACTTCCTGGATCTTTTAAAAGGTAGAAGAAGCAACACCCAAAAGAGAGTCTACACCTGATCTCACTTATACTGGCCAGCAGGAACTGACCATTGGTGTGATTAGCTGAGGCTGGTGAGGGGATCTGGATAACAAAAGGGGAGTGGGTGCCTATGCTAGGAGAAAAAGGAGGCCACAGAACATAAAAAGCCTCTACCTGCACAATGGGGTAAGAAATGACAACAGAGCGATAGCAGAGGTTCTCAAAGCTTATTTTATATCTGTTTTGGCAGCTGAAAAGTGAATAACTTTTGTACCGGAAATGATTGTGCAAAATTTGTAATACCTAATGAAGGAATCCATCCTACAGCAGCCCTGGGAAGTTCTAGTCCCTACTGTTGTTCAGGAACTTTCTGTACTCTGTTTTAAAAGTCATGATTCTCTGTTTTAAAGTACAATATTGGTATCCCTGTTTATTAAAAGCTGCCAGAATCATTAGTATAAGGTAGAATCTGGTGGTGATCTGGGCACCTCTTACAGGCCTCACGAGGGAAACCAATAAGTGTTTATATGGAAATCTTGCTATTTTAACAATAGCAATAACACAGGTAGTGATTTTAAAATTCTACTGCACTAGCTGGAAAGGGAATCAGAAAATGGACAACTGAGATTGGAAGAGGAACAATAGCCTTGAAAGAAATGAAGAACCAGCACCATCTGGCCATTATGTCATGAAGAGACCCATGATACCATAAATAAGAGGAAAACCACAGAGAGATGCCATCTGACAGTCATAAACCAAAGTCCAAAAATTAGACTGTCTATGTCATTACCTGGAGCATCTATGTGGTGCAGTAGATAGTGTTGGGCTCCAAGCCAGGAACACTCACCTTCCTTGGTTCAAATTGACCTCGGACACTTACCTGCTGTGTGACCCTGGACAAGTCACTTCACCTTGCTTACCTCAGTTTCCTCATCTGCAAAATGAGCTGAACAAGAAAATAGAAAACCACTCTATTTTGTTTGCCAAGAAAACCCCAAATGGGTCATAAAGAGGCAAACAGAACTGAAACAAATGAATAACAAAAACTAGCCTGATCTAAGCAAGCCATGACAAAGAGAAATCCAAAGTTGAAGGGAACCTCCTACAAGTACTTAGGATGCAAAACTGCCCAAGGCTCTTAGAGCTGCTGGCTGTCAGTCACGTTCAATGTCAGGAATTCTACTTGTCTCTTGATTGCCTGGGGCCAAAGGTTTTAACCCTGGAAGTGTGAGAGGATAATCTCATTCAGTCCTTTCATTTTACCCAGAAGGAAGACTAGGACTAGAGAAGAGTAGTGACTCCCGTAAGGTCACATGGCTAGCAGAGCCAAGCCATGTATTAGTGGTTATATGGGCCCCTTGCTGTGCCTTGAGCACAACACTCTATATTCCAACTCCAGGTATTTGTCCTGGCCATCCCTATGTCTGTAATGCTATCCTTCTTACCTCAGTGCACAGGCTTTCCTGGCTTCCTTCAAGTCTCAAGTAAAATCTGAGCTTCCCCATGAAGCCTTTCCTAACCCCTCTTAATTCTAGTGCTCTGTTATCTCCAATTAATCCTGTATATACTCTGCATATAAACTACTGTCTCTCCCATGACATTATAAGTTCCTTGAAAGCTGGGACTATTTGGGGTTGGTTGGTTTATTTGTTTCTTTAGGGACTGGCCTTTCTTTGTGTGTCCCGTCCCTGGAACACAATAAATAAGCATTTAATTAATGATTGTTGACTAACTGACCATTTGCACATTTAGAAATGGCAATTCAAAGAAACATGCCCAAAATAAAACAGCCTCTGGAATGATATTCATACATATTTAAAGAGGTAGAGGACAGCAAACATCACAGAGTTGATTATAATTTACATGATTATCAAAATGCATCTTAAATGTCACAAATATGAATTTTAAAAGGCCAGCATGTGGGCTTTTGTGATGGTGGACAATGATGATGATTTAGAGAAAAGTACCCAAATACCTGACTGAGCCATGAGAAAGTTATATTTCAGAACTGCAGATGTCTGTGGACATTGTTCTTTCAGGAGGTGAAAGTCAACCCCTGGGAAAAGAGCAGCGTGATGGATTCTTCAGACAATGCCAGCTCCTGTGTGAGGGAGAACACCAATCCGCAGGAAGAGGATGGAAGAAAGCAGCAGCACCCAAAAGTGAAAAGTAAGGTCATAAAGTGCCATCCTCCCCACTCAAGCATGTCTCCCTGAAGAGCTCTTGAATTCCATCCAATTCATTTCAACAAATTTGTTGATTATTTCCTGGATGCAAAAAAACTCTGCTAGGAACTATGGAAGATGCAGAGAGGGATAAGAAACACATCTTGTTCTCATGGACTTTTACAATGGAACGAATGAATAAATGAAATCATATTTGTGAAGTGCTTAGTATGTGCCGAGCACTGAGCTGAGTGCTAGGGATACACATACAATGTCAAAGGCAGGCCTTGTCCTCAAGGAACTTGCATATTATCAGACCAAGACAGCATGTTAAGAGGAGTACTGGTCAAAACAGTATTTTGGTTTGGAAATGATCACCACAATGGCTAGCACTTATATAATGCTATAAGTATTATCTCATTTAATCCTCACAACCTTGCCCAGTTCATTATCCCCATCTTAGAGACAAAGGGCTGAAGGGGTTAAGTGACTTGCACAAGGGTCACATAGTTATCTGAGACAAGATTGGAACTCAGGTCTTCCAAGTCTAGCATTCTATCCACTATGCCACCCAACTGTCAAATTTAAAGGGGATAGTTAAATAAATTCATGAGTGTAGATTGCCCCACACACACTTCATAGAAATAATGGCAGTAAGAATTTGACTATGGTTTCCTGAACTAGAAGGCCAGTGGGTTAGAAGGGTAGCAGAGAGAACACTCAAGATTCTGTTCTCTCAGCCATGGTCTCGGGTCTTGGTGGCGAAATAAATGAAAGGAAGACAGAAAGGAGTAAAGTAGGAAGAAAAACTAAGATAGATAACAAATAACCATAACAGATGAGACAAAGTATGGTAAATGGATAAAGTAATGGATCGATAGAGATAAATGCAAATAGTAATAGATAAAACAAAACATGGTCCACCACACCACTTCCCAAATATCTCTATCCTTTCCAGCATCTGCCTCAATCCAGAACTGAAGGTCCCACCCCTGTGGTTCTGGATTCTGATTGGCAAGGTCCTAGCCTGGCCCAGTCTCAGGTTCATGGCCATCTTCATACCTTTTGGTGGTGGATATACTCCCATCACCTTCTCACGAGCCTTTCCACTCTACCTCTAGAACAGCAATTAAATGCACGCTACCATTTCTGGGAAGGACACATCAATCAACCTTCCCCTTACTCCAATCATCATTGTCTCTTGACTTTAACCTCCAGAACACCCATCTCTGCCTATTTCTATGCCTTGTTTCCCATGTTAGAATATAAGTTCCTTCAAAGCAGGGAATGTCTTGTTCTTCTGTATTTAGCCCCAGTACAGAGGCTGGCACAGCAAGAGCTTGATAAATGCTTTTTTCATCCATTTATTTATTCACTCATAAAAACACAATTTATGGTATAGTAAAAGTGTCTGAAGAAAGGTACAAAGAAAATACTTTGGGGATTTCTTAGATCATCCCCAAGTTCTATTTCTATGTTCAGGAATTCCAAAATTCCATTATGTGAAGACTATTATTGGTCATTCTATCCCTCGTGATGCCTTTTGACCTGTAGCCCTATTTTTCCCCAACATTACCTCTAACACTTCCAACCCCAGTTCTTTCCCAGGACATTGCCCTTACACTGGCTATATTGTTCTCCCTTCCCTATATCCACCTCTTGGTGAATCAATTTCCCTTTACTTCAATATCTACACTCAAATCCGTTTCCCTTTATCTGATGAACAGTCACATTGGCCAAACCCCAACTTGGTTACTGACATCATCATCATCATCATCACCTTCTTCTTCTTCTTCTTCTTCTTCTTCTTCTTCTTCATCAACAACAAACTTATAGCTAACATTTATATCATACCTAGTATGATCTAGGCACTGTGCTAAACACTTTACAAGTATTTTCTTATTTGATGCTTACAATAAACTTGCCGACAATCTGAGGTGCTATAATTATCCCCATTTTACAGATGAAGAAATAAGGCAAAGAGGAGTTAAGTGATTTGTCCAGGTCCACACAGCTAATAAGTGTCAGGAAGATATCTTATTGTCTCTCCTATCTTCTTCAACCCCTCCTCAGCACTTATAAAAGCAGGGGCTTGACAGGCAAATGAAGAAAGAGTTCTTTATTCTATCAATCCCAAAGCTCCATCTAGTGTTGAGCATGTATTATGTGCTCAGAGGAGTGGAGTGACAGAAATTGATCTGATTGATGAAGTAAATTACTGACAGGATTAATTAATGATGAAGTTCATTAACAACCCAAGTTTAGTGTTGTTTTTCATTTATCTCCAAGTTATTAGGAATCATCATATAGGCACTTCTGTCTGCTTAGGATTAGTCCTACAGTTTCCAGAAAGAACAGAAGGAAGGACACTCTGAAATCTAGCTCTTACTTGAAATAGTGTGTAAGGAAGGACACATTCAATTCAATAAGCCCAAAAGGAAATCACAGATCCATACAAAATGTTCATTTGTGAGAAGCCCCTATCCCCAAGATTTAATGTGGCCCCTGTAAACTCAGAACTTTGTTTACAGAGAGAATAATTCAGGAAGAATGTATGAACTGTGCTGTTGATGTGTGTGCTTACACCTTCTATCAACATCTTTCGATAAAAGAATAAAGGCCCTTATTTTTTAACATTGAAAACCTTGACCAGCTACCTCATGGTCATCCGCTCTGTATTAGTATAACAAACCACTCATTCCTCCAAATTCTCCAGCTTTGGTGACAGTGTGTAGTCACAATGTAATGTTATTGAGCATCCTCTAATAGTAAGTGCTTGGTGCCTATTTGAAAAAGGAATGGTCACTTTATTAGCAACTAACCACTGTCAATTTTCCAAACCTTTTCATCCCTCCTCAGCCCTCTTCTAGATCTCCTTTACCACATCTTCTGCTGGGAAGCTTGTCTCATATTTAACTGAAAATATTGGGGCCATTTGCTCAGAACTCGTTCTCCCCCTCCTCTTCCTCTCATATCACTCAGATATATTCCCCCTCTATTTCCCCCTCTATCCCTCTTTCACTTGAAAAGGTCATCCTACTCCTTTTCAAAGTAAGACCCTGTAAATGCAAAAGCAATTTCCTTCCACCCCTTCTTCTCTTCCAGATTGCCCTTTCTATCTTCCCCATCCTCTCACTTATCTTTAATATCTCCCAATCTACTAGGTGCTTTCCCATTGCCTAGAAATCACTTTCTTTCTCTTTACTTATCTTGCCTCTCTAATCCTCAAAAAAAAAAGATCCACCTATCCTGTTAAGTCATTTTATCTCTCCTTCCTTTTATAGCTGAACTCCTTTCCTCTCACTCTCAACTACCTGGAGAAAGTCTTCAAACCTCATCATTCAAATAACACTGTTCTTTCCAGAGTTACCAATGATGTCTTTAATTTCCAACTCTAAAGGCCTTTTCACAATCTTCATGCTTTTGGACCCCTCTGCAGCCTCTGACAAAGGCAATAATCTTCTCCTTGATATTCTCTTCTCTCTAGGTTTTTGTGACACTGATGTCTCCCTGTTCTCCTCCTACGTGTCTGACCACTTCTTCTCAGTGTCCTTTACTGGATCTTCATCCAGGTTATGACTGATAACCATGAGTGTCCTCCAAGGCTCTGTCTTGGGTCCTTTTCTTTTCTCTATATATACTATTTCATTTGACTCCCATTTTGTCAACTCCAATGGATGCAATTACTATCTCTATACAGATGATTCTTTGACCTATTTATCCAGTCCTAACCTCCAGTTCTACATATCTAATTGCCTATTGGATGTCTTGATTTGGACATCTTATATTCAAGATGACCAAAACTAAACTCTTCTTTCCCTTAAAGTTGTTTCCTTTCTCTAGCTTACCTATTGATGAAAAGGATGCCAGCAATCTTACAATCTCCTAAACTCATAACTTAGGTATCTCCTTGACTCCCTGCTCTCTCACCACCACCACCCCTGCATATCTCATCATTTGCCAAGGCCTATGAATTTTACCTTTCTAACATCTCTCACATATGTGCTTTTCTCTCCTCTGACACTGATAGTACCCCCTTAGTGGTCCCATCACCTCATTCTTGGTCTATTTGCATAGACTGCTGCTGATCTCCCTGTCTCAGGTCTCCCCACTCTGGTCCATCCTCCCTTCAGCTGTCAAATTCATCTTTCTAAAGTTGAAGCCTGACTGTCTCTCTCTCTCTCTCTCTCTCTCTCTCTCTCTCTCTCTCTCTCTCTCTCTCTCTCTCTCTCTCTCACACACACACACACACACACACACACACACACGGACACACACACACACACACACACACACAGGATGGTTACTTCCTACCCCACCCCACTTTGTGGTTGCTATCATTACCATTACAACAACCAGTTCCTCCTTCTTAGTGAAAATAAAGTCCAGAATGGAATTTCCCTTTATTGGTTCCTCCACATTTTGAAAGCTGAAATTATTATCAAGCCCAGTAAAAAAAAAAAATAGTAATAATGGAACAGCTCTGTTCAGGCAGAGATTTCCATCAAATGTCCAGATAATCAAAGTCTCCCATGAGTACTTATACCTTGCCTGTGGACCAAGATTATGACTTGTTCCTCAAATTCCTTCTTTCTGTCAAGGCAGTGTCTAGAATCTACTAAGATGAGAATATCAGTTCTAGTTCTACCAAATGCCTATGCTGCTTTCTGATCCTGGCACTAGATTTCTTCCCATACATCTCTTTTGTTAAATCCTCTACTTCTTCCTAACCTCTCAATTTGAATTTTCTGCAAAGTTCTTTCCCTCATCCTTCTTGTTTATCTTTTTATACTTTGTCCATTTGCCCAATTTATTTACTTCTTTGGACTTAACAATATCCAAATGACTCCTGACTCAATATTTTCATCATTGACCTTTATCTTGGGCAACACACAAGCATCTCCAACTGTCTATAGGACAGTTCCACCTATTGGAATGTCTCAATATCTTTCCAACTCGAGACATCGAAAGCCAAGCTTATTTTTCTTTTATCCTGACTTCATTATTTGTATCTGTGATTCTACATTCATCTCACAATCTGTGTTACAAAATCAATGTATCCTCTACATTCCAACTCCATTTCTCTTTTCTATAATACTCTTCTGTCCAGACGGCAACCAAAAACTATGTGAACCTAAATAGAAATAGAACAATCTTATGACAGATTTTGTGACATATTTTTTGTTAAAAAGAAAATTACTCTGTTTATACAATTACTGCATGTTTGTTGTCTTGGTCTCTCTCTTGAAGGTTTCTGTTCAGTAAGATATGGCGTGGCCATCATGATACATTTCTGTAATCTAATAATAACAGCCCAATTTGCCAGTCTGAGCATTGCCATCGTTGCCATGGTGAACCACACAGACCAGTCAAATCAATCCAATGTTTCCACAAAGAGACATCCTGGTGCCGCTGCAGATATAGGGGTAAGTCAATGGCAGCTCCAACTTTTTCCATTCATTTAAACAATAGACATTTCTTGTACCTACTATATATGAAACATACATTGGTGTAGAAACTAGACTAATAGTAAATTAGACAAGATGCTTGCCATTTAAGAGTTTTTGATCTAATTGGTAATATATGTATATGTGTACTGTTAGACTAGATGGACACTGAGATCTCTTTATAATCTAAAGTCCTCTGATTCTGGGAGATTAAAAATACATCAATAAATAAGAAATATCAGAATGTAGATATGTAAGCATTCAAAATTCTCCAACATCTGATAGGGGAAAAAATCACATAAGGGATAAGCTTCATGGATGACATGCCTTTTGAGTTGAACCATGAATGTCTTCAGGACTGATATCAGGATGAGTAAGTATTGGTGTAGGGAATATTGTCAACAAAGGGACAAAAACATGAAACATACTACTTTGAGGAGATGGTAGATAGTTCAATTTGGCTAGAGTAAAGAGTGCATAAGGGAATACTGGAGGCAAGTACATAGAATGTAATGAATAGAGCACTAAACATGGAGTGAGGAAGACCTGAATTTAAATCTGACCTCAGACACTATCTGTGTGCCCATAGGCAAGTCACTTAACCTCTTTCAGCCTCAGTTTCCTCATGTATAAAAGGAAGATAACAATAGCACCTATTTCTCAGAGCTGTTGTGAAGATGCAATGAGATAATATTTGGAAAGTGCTTTTCAAACCTTAATCTAGCAATATAAATACCACCTATTGTATAAGTCAGGAAATGTAGTTTGGAACAAGATGCTGGAAGGTCCTGAAAGGCAGGCATATTAGCTATATTCAAAAGAGAATGGGGAGGCATTAAAATATTATTGAGAAATGGAATGACATAATCAGGGTTATGTATTAAGAAGAATAACCTAGATGGAATATATTGGATGAAATGGAAGGAGAAAGGAGAAAAACTAGGGTCAGAGAGAAAAGTCAAGAGGTTATTGTAAGTCCCTGGGAAGAAGTGAGGGCCTAAAGTGGAATGCTGGCAGTACAAATAGAAAAGAGAGGGTAGAGGCAAGAAATAATGTGAGGAGAGAATTTGAAGAAAATAGTACCCAATGGGAACTATGTCTGAAGGACATCAAAGAGTCACAAATGACTACAAAGCTATGAGAATACCTGAATGTTTGTAACTAGGGAAATGATCATGCTGTTGATAGAAACAGGAAAGATAAAGAGGAGCCAGGAGATTTTAAATAGTAAGTTCCATTTAAGAAAAGTTGATCGAGAGCTGCCCCTTTACCAGGGTCAAAGGACACCCAGAAAGTTTTTGTTGTTTGTCTTTCATTCTCTAAGAGGACCATGGCATCAGGAAGACAATGCCATGACTTGCAAGTGAATGGGGGTTAAGTAAGGGAGGGCCGTGCAAGGTCACCAGCAACACTATCTCCTCTGGTGCCATCTGGGTCCAATGGCAAGATGTAGATACAGACAACGGGAGATGGCTCCCCCCCCCGAAAGTAGATGGAAATATCTAGCAGGAGCTGGGCACAATCATGGAAAGAGATGCAAACCATTGCATCACAGAACACAATGTTAACAGGTTCACAGATGAAAAAGACCTTACAGTTCACTTTGCCCAGGGCTTCTTAGACTGAAGTACATGAATTTAGTTTTTGTACAGTATTTTCATGACTGCGTTTCACGATAATTTTTTTTCTTTGCAATCAAGAGCATTTTATTGTATGCATTTAAAAACACAATTTTGAGGAGTATCTAGGTTGCACAGTAGATAGAGCTCCAGCCTTGGAGGCAGGAAGACCTGAGTCCAAATCTGGCCTCAGACACATCACACTTGCTAGCTGTGTGACCCTGGGCAAGTCACTTAGCCCCGATTGCCTCAGAAAAAAATGAAAGCCAAAATAATATAAAACCCAATTATGACAAGGGGTTCCTAGGCATCACTAGATTGCCAAAGGGGTCCATGAAGCAAGAAAAGGTTACAAATTCTGATATATTTTAATCCCTTCTTTTTGTAAGTGAGGAAACCAAAGTCCATACCAGGTAAGTGATTTGCCTGATGGAACAAAGCCAGGATGTGAACCCAGACCCCTTAAGTTCAAAGATGGCACTTTCTTCACCCCAGTGTAGTGTTATTTATTTAGAAGTCGACTTCATAGAAGTGAGAGTAATAAGCAGAAGGAATGGAATGAGCTCACCAGGGGCAAGGGGGAAGGGAGAGAGCAGAAGAGAGCTAAGTACAGACTCATCAGGAATGCCCATATGAGGTGATTAGGAGGATAAAAGAGGATGCAGAGAAAGAGAGCATGACAAGGTGAAAGGACAAGGAGAATAATACCTCATGCTACAAGAACATATGCATTAGGGGAGGGAGACCCTCAAACTCAGCAGTCTGGTTAAAGTATAACAGGTCCAAGAAAAGGTTACTCCATCCAGAACCACAAAGGTAATGGACCGCTGGATACAGATTCACTCAGACCATATATGAAGTATTGTATATACATCAGGAATCTTCATTTTGGACAAGACAGATAAGGTGGAAAATGTCACCAGGAGGGCAACCAGAATGTTGAAGGAGTCAAGGTCATGCCATGTGAAGACCACCTGAAGGAACTAAAGATTTCTAGCTTGGGGAAAGAGAAAACAAGTGAATCATGATAGCCATCATGAATATATGTGAAATCCTTTCATTTTTTTAGAGAGATTACACTTATTCTCTCTGGATTCAGGAAACAGAATTTGAAGCAATTGGTAGAACTTACAAAAAATGCAGATTTAGGTCCAAGATAAGGAAACTTTCCTACTTTTCTAAAATTGTTTTCTAGGGGCAGCTAGGTGGTGCAGTGGGTAGAGCACTGGCCCTAAAGTCAGCAATACCTGAGTTCAAGTCTGACCTCAGACCAAATACTTGACACTTACTAGCTTTGTGACCCTGGGCAAGTCACTTTACCTCAATTGCCAAAAAAAAATAATTGAAAACAAGATTTTTTCCCGTAAATATTTAAGACAAATAAGCTGCCACAGGAGTCTTAAAGGCATATGTGCATGTATCTAAGTAGCATTATTGCTGTTGTTGAGTTGTTTCAGTCATGTCCAACCCTTCATGACACTTGTGTGGTTTTCTTGGAAAAGGTAATGGAGTGGCTTGCCATTTTCTTCTCCAGCTTATGAGGAAGCTGAAGTAAACAAGCTTAAGTGACTTGCCCAGGGTCACACAGCTAGTAAGTGTCTGAGGTGAGATTTGAACTCAGGTCATCCTGACTCTAGGGCAGGCACTTTGTGCACTGTGGTGCCACCTAGTGGCCCAGTAGGTAGTTTTCCACATTACTATTACTATAATTGCAGAAGATTTTTCTATGACATATCCCAAGGATTTCAACAAGTGTCTAAATGTAGCTCAGTCATCTTCTTCCACCATAATATTCCATTCCCCCTACCTTTGAACATTTGTATTGACTAAAATGCATCCATCTTTACCTCTTTGAGTCCTTAATTACTCTCAAGCCACAACGCTAACACCACTTTCTCCATGAGGTTTTTCTTGATGATCTCCTATGTTCTAGAGTCTCCCCCTCAAATTACCTTGTATGTATTTTGTATATGCTTATATACAATATGTACATATTGATTTCCCACTGCTCCTCCCACTCAACCAGGCTTACATTGTCATCCTCAACATCTCACCCAGATTTCCTCCACATGTCCAACTTGCCCCCAAGTTTAATCATTTCGATCTTCACAACATCTACTATACATTACATTCTCCAGACTCATTTGGCCTTGTGCAGGTTTTCATCCCTTACACTGTGAATATTGCTATAGTGTTCTTGTGGATTTCCCTGCCTGAAGCCTTCTTTCTACTTTTCCAATTTTTCTAGAGTTTGCTCACACCCTGACCCCATGCACTCTAATCTACTTCCAATGGCATTCTTGTTCCTCAAACTGGCTCTCTCTCATACCTTAAAAATTCTTCCTCCTAACCTCTGCCTCCTGGATTTCCTGGCTTCCTGCAAGACTCAGTTCAAAACCCAACTTTTCAAAGAGGCCTTTCGTGGCCTCTCCCCATTTCCTTCCATCTATAAGTGAGTCAATAGTCGGTAAGATAAGAAATATGTACTAAGTGCTTACTAGGTGCCACGCACTTTGCTAAGCACCGGGGATACGAAGAAAAGTAAAAGACACTCTTTGATTCTAAGGAGTTCAGAGTCTCCTAAGTGAGACAACATGCACAACTATATACAAACAAGCTATCTCTCTATCTATCTATCTGACAAATCGTAGATAATCAACTCTGCCAAGATGGCAGAGTGAAAGCAGTGACTTGCCTAACCTCTCCCAAAAACCTGTCCAAATACTCATTAAAAATGGCTGTAAACAAATTATGAAGCAGCAGAACCCAGAAAAAGACAGAGTGAAACAAATTTCCAGCCCAAGACAACCTGGATGATTGATCAGAAAGGTATATCGTGCCGGGTTGGGAGCACATCCTGGATGCATAGGCCACAGTGAACCTGAAGCAGGCCTCAGAGGAGTGAATCATCAGCGGATGTGCAGGTTTCTAGACTCCTCAATCCACTAATGCCAAAGATAATTAAGGTCAGTGGGAAAAGTCTGTTTCTATTGGTGCTGAGAAAGGAAGGCGGGGTCTCAGCTCCATTCCCCAAGAGCGTGGCCCTAGGGGGGCAGGGCAGCTGCTTCCCGAGCTTCTGGCTCACAGACTGAGGGGGAATCCAGTGGCTGATCAGAGAGGGATTGTAGGAATCTCTTTGCCAGTGCTGAGGCGGGAATCTCTTCCTTTGCCCGCATTTGGATCTGGGTCACAGTTCTGGGCGGCAGTGCTGGGGTGGAGGGGAACGATTGTGTGGTGGAGCTTGGAGTGGCTGTGGAGAAGAACCCCTCCTTGCAGTTACAGGACAGAAAGGAATACTTCTGGTCACAGGCCAGGAAAGGAGTAAACACCTCGCCCCTTATCATACCACCTTGCAAGAAC